ACTGCCTCTCTATTCAGCCCTCCTCCAATTAATTGTTGCATTGCAGTGAAAAGGCAGCTCATGATCTGGTGAACAATGGCCGACAAATAGAGGAGGGAGCTCGTACACGCTTGGCGGCGGATGCTGCCAGCTGCAGCGGCACTCGGCTTCTCAACCATCAACTCTTCTTATGAAGTGTTGAAGGACTCACACTGCCGTCAGCCTGCATTGTTTCCCCTCCTTCTTCCCAAAGAAAACAGTCACTAAAGTCTCATTTGTTGCCACTTCTCCATGGCGGGCGTGGCGTTCGATGGAGCCCTTGTGTGTCGCTAAAAGGATTATGAGGGCTTAATTGAGTGTGCTAATTGATTGGACAGTGAATGAGACTGAATGGGGCTGAGGGGCAGATGTGGTGTGAAACCCCTGGCTCTTTCTAAAGAATACAAATCAGTAGCAGAGGGATCTATTCTCCGCTCTCTATAACACTCAATTATCCCTTTCACACGGCGAGCAAGGGGCCGAGCGAACAGATGGTTTCCACGCTGAGAGCTGTATGGAGGCCATCGCGGCTTCTCCGAGCACCTTTTCTTCAGGATGGGCTTTTTATTGGCTATTCATGACGCGCAGGGTCTCAGTGGGAACAATGGACGACTAGAGCGGCCATGGATTGGAAAGAGAGCAGAGGTTTGGGTCCGGTCCCGGCGAGGCATCCGTTACGCTTGAAACTGAAGAGAAAGGAGGATGAAAACCGCGGAGGGCGTGTTCACCTGGTGGGGGAGGGGGAGAGTCGGCACACACCGTGTGTCGATGGCCACTTCAAGTCAAGAACAATGATAACGTTCATCCCAAAACACCGCCCAGTGATAAAATCCATCCGATGTGGGCAGAAGAGCAGGTTCACCTGAGAGACAGTTTGTGTCGTTTTCATGTTTCAAGGAACTTGAGTCATGAGTCTGGGAAAACATTTACACAGCAGTATTTTAAAAGGTTCAGCATTGAACAACACTTCCCACAATTCACTCCTGCAGCCTCATAATTATACCATGATATAGATTTAAGGCCATACTGCCAAGCTTACATATGGAAGCCCAGAGTTCATAAAATTGAAATTAAATTGTGTAATCAAATTGAAATCTCATTTTCAAATTGTTTACGCCAATTTGAAAATAAATCGTCAATATTCAATTTCATTGTTTTTTGTGATTGTTCATTTTACTTTTACATTATGCACATGCATATTTAAAATGAAATGTCTTATATTCATATGCTGTAGAGTTTGTAAATAGAATTGATTTGACTTGAACTCATTAGTTTGTACCTTTTAACTATTTCTCCTTTTCTGTTTATTTCAGTTGAAATGAAGAATTGCAGTCTACACGTCATGATCAATAGTAATTCTATTTGTATAAATAAAACACTCGCGAGCTAACTAAATGGATCAACAGTTTTAAAGTGTGGGATAAGTTAAATAAGACCTTTTGTGTTGTTTTATTGTTTTTAATTGTATTTTTGTCTGTATGTATAGAAAATGTAATATTGTTTGCTTTAATGATTTGATTTTATAACTATTATTGTGAAAATCATCAACAAGAGGCTCCTCTAGAACACACACACACACACACACACACACACACACACACACACTAACCCCTCCACGATCAGCAACACTGAAGAGTCTTCTATAACTTTTATTACAGCGACGACACAAAAGAATAAGTTGGTGGGTGATGGACTGGTTGGGGGGGGGTTGGAGTTGAATGGGTTGTATTAGCTCATGAATATAAGGCCCTGTATTATTGCCCCCCCCCATGTGGGGGCCTCCACCTTGTCCCGTATTGTTAGACAGAGGGGATTGTGAGGCGAGCTGATGGGATGAATGCCACCTGTCAGAGAGCAGAGAAAAGGGGATTCAGCGTGGAGAAAGCTTTAAAGCTCTGTGTTCTCGTTATACACCGCTAATTGACTTTTAAAGACACCGGGGGCCTCAGGGTGCGAGAGAGAAAGAAATACTGCACACTCTCTATTTGCAACTAACAACCACAGCAGAGCTGAAGGAACCTGTTCCAGGTCAAATCAGCCACCTTGCATGGATTTGAACAGTTTGTACTGAAACATTTCTTACCACGCCTTCTCATGAGATCACGTTGAAGGTGTCTGTTCAAGAAAAAGCATTGAAAGCAGCTGAAATAGGCTTAAGAGTGTTGCTGAAAGCAGTTGAAGTGTGTTACGGTGAAGTGGAGTCACCTAAAACGGATGATATGTCAGTTTGAAGTGTAAGAGCTCTAAATACTACAGCAGTCTCAATAGTCGTACATTGTGTGGGAGTTACAGTCCACTTCACGGTGAAGCACCGAAAGGATCTGAAGTGTTAATTGAAGTTAAAGCACTGAAAGGATTTCAAGTGTCGGTTAAAATAAAAGTCATAGAAGCAGTTAGAGTGGAATCAGTTGAAACGTCATATAAAGAGCAAGAGCTGATCGTAGTTCTGAGTGGATGTGAAAGCAATACAATCTATTTAGTTTCAGTGCTGGAGGTAGTTTAAGTGTATCCACTTTAAGTGACTTGTGTCAGCACTGAAAACAGTGAAAGCGTCAGTTTGAAGTGTAAGAGCTGTTGATGATTGTTAAACTACAGAGTGTTTAAGCTTCTAGTGGAGTTTGTATAATTCAGCTGTTTTGTCGCTGCAATTTTAAACATTTGAAAAATATAGAAACATTTACTTTTACTGATTAATCAATACGTGGAGTCATTTACTGCGGCTTTGTATCATTGACAACACGCCAGCATCTACAGCCACATCAGTGAAGACCTCAGTCACGTCTCTAGCTATTTCTGATCGTGTTGTTTTTGTTGCACTACCCGACGACAGCTTTCACCAGACTTTCAGAAGTGCAGAAAAACATGAATCACATTGTCTCCCCTCCTCTGTTTAGCATGCTGATACTTCATCCTGTGTTGAAGACATTTTTATTGTTGTCATTTATGATCTGGTAGTTTCTGCTCATAACAGCTGTAACGACAGTAACAGCCCTCGACCACAACTTCACTCTGTTAACTTCTGTTGCTTTTAAAGGCTTGTTTTCTATTTCTGTCAGTTTACTTGTTTTACCGCGAAAATGTGGCTTTCCTGTTTCTGAACCCTACAGGCCACCGTACAGAGTCAAACTGCTGTTTGATGTGTACATCCATGAGTATTCATCCTGGGGGGAATCTCTAGGCACCTCCTCACCCTTTGTGCGGTCGCTCGAAACTTAAACTTAAACTTGAAAAAGAGCTGGTGACTTTACTGTGGTAAATGAAGGATAAGCTTGCTTTTGTTGTGTCTGTCTATCCTGAACTTAATATTTCAGACACACACTCACAACAAAGACAGAAACGACTTTTGACTTTCTAGAGATATGAGGTTCTCACAGGACAGAGACGCTACAAACACGTGATGATCTTGTAGAATATGATGCATTGATGAAGATTAAACTAGACAACAGGATATAAAGGAGTTAAAAACATCTACAGCAGTGAAATGCAACAAACACATTAATGCAGCAGTGAAATGAATCCAGAAACATCAGATATAATAGTAAAACACTGACAGGGAACATTTTACTGCACAAAAAGTACTTTTCCTTTTCATACATTAAGTACATTTTGCGGATAATTCATTAATACTTTTACATAATTAAGGTTTTACTTGTATTTTCACAGTTGTGTATTAGTACTTTAACTTCAAACTGAATACTTCTTCCACCACTGGTAGTGTCTTGAAATTAAAATAATTTATGAAAGAATAAAAGCGGGTTTGGAGTCACAGCGTCACAGTAGGTTGAACAAAGCTGCAGCAGATGAAGTTAATTAATAGTTCAGGTAACAGGTCGCTCGTTAGCTCAATCAGTTTAACCAGCTGCAGCTGTGAGTACATGTGAGGGAGACTCAGCTCAGAGGCCTTTACTGTGAGACACCACACACTGAAACAGGAACCTGTTCCTCTTGAAATCTGCACACATGTTGATTCTGGCTTCCAGGTTATTTTACCAATGACTGATTTATTCTCTTCTCATTGAACTGTTGCTCAGAGAGATCTCTGCCACTTTCTCCCTTTTACATTTTCAGTCTGGCTGAACCTTTGAACAGCGTTTAAAACAAACACCTTCATACAAAATAACTTGTATATGTATAGAGGACTTTCTACAACCTCAATGCATACAAGAATATTAATAAAATACAGAGGTGTTCTCCGACTGTAACAAATCAAGCTTTTGGGACGGGGGAAACCAGACGTACATATCTGAATGTGCACCAACAGCTAGTTTACTATCTATAAACTGATGGGAGACACGATATGAGTCTTCCGTCCTGTAGCCCCCCCTGCTGTCCACCGTGTGTCACTACAGAGCCTCAAAGACTCACTGACCACAGTTCAGATCTAACAAAGTTCATCAGAGCTAATTTGTTGTGCATTATTGGTGGGAGCGTCTCATAAAACAGCTCCTCTGTTCTCAAATACCTCATAAATAAAGTGAGACGTTTACACACTTTACACTGGAAGCACGATTCATTCCTCTGGACCAACAGTCCAGGACACAGATAACCTCTTCTGTCTCTGAGCTACAGGTTGCATCAGTGAGCGAGGGCTCGAATGCATCATGTCGAGGTTTACGCTCGATTTTGACATCTGCGGTGTTTTTACAGTCCGTGTTTATTAACCGTCTCCAGACAGTGAAATTAGAATCCCTGAAAAATTCAGATCAAAATAGAAACTTTAAACTAAAGAAATATCCCTCAGTACGCTGAGCCGAGTTATGTTTCACATGTTTAATGTGCATCACAGCTAAGCTCGTTTCAATGAGTTAAAGTAATTCTGACTTTAATTTAAAGGCTTTTAGGGGCAACACAGTTATCAATATTATCCATGTCTTTCAAAATGAACTATAATGATTTTATGTTACTTTTACTTTTAAGCACTTTAGGTAAAAAACACAAAAACACAACATAGAATTATAGTTTTATTTTAAAAAAAAAGAAAGAAAGGCGAGTTAAACATAAGTCAGAGTTTCTGAGGAGAAGCAGATGTTTCCAGTGATCTCATGACATCTGTACAGATGTGACTACACGGACACTCAACTGAAGTTCTAACTTGGAAATTCTGTGAAAAACTACATTAAAGGAACAGACTGATAAAACGTCTACTTGCTCACAGCACAAACGGACCAGAATTCATCTGCAGGAAAACAACCACCAGCTTCGGATAGTTCGGTTCATTTCTTCAGACAGAAAATCGATCAGTCGATGTTCGGTTATTTTATTTGGGCCGCGACTCACAGAGACCGAGTAAAACTCACTGATGGTGCGTTCGTGGACTCTCAACAACCCAGATTGTGACCGTGAGAAGCGCTGGAAAGTCCCACAAAAAGTGTCCGTCCTCAACGTCGAAGGGACTTACGATGCTTTTAAAAATGTGAATGTTCGGATGTCCGAGCATCGTTGAATGCACCAGAAATATTTCACAATAAAAGATATTTAACTTTACAGTGAAATAAATGTGACGCCAGAGATGAACTCAGTCCTTCATCCGACATCATGAACAAACAGAGCACAGCTCCACCAGCAGGCTGAGACGGGTCGTTACAGTCTCTTTATTTCCGTCCAGCTTCTTCTTCTTCAGGTGTTTTTGAGTCACTGAACGTTCTTGTTCTCCAGCTGTCTGGGCAGCTTCCTGCGGTCCTTTCCAGCGTTCCTCTTCCTCTTCTTGCCCAGGAAGCTCTCCAGTTTGCCGCTCTTCTTCAGCTCCTGGTATTTCTCGGCCAGCTGCAGCTTCTTCTTGTCAGCTGCAAAAGAACAAACGACGAAGAGTTTAACTAAATTCAGCATCTCCGCCTCATTCACTCCGTTAGTGGTGAAAATGAAGCGAGCGGACGTGCAGACAGAAACATTCAGCGTGGACTCACAGTTCTTGAGGAAGAACGGTCGTGCGCCCTGATTGGCTCGCTCTCTCTGCTGCCTCTTGAACTGCAGCTCTCTCTCTCTCTGCTGCTCTCGGTTCTTCCTCGCTCGCTCCTGGTTGTCCTGCAGAGAGAGAAGTCACAGTTCAGACATTTAAAACAGACTCACTGCATACACCATCACAGCATCACGGAGCTTTTATTGTGAAGCACCAAGCTTAACCGAAGGTCGGTTTTGGACAATTTGTACTTCAGAGGTTTGTATTTGAGGCAACACTCAGACTCACCATCCTCTTCAGAAGGAACTCGAGTTTCTCCTTCTTCTGGACGTTGCTCTTCTTCGTCTTCTTCAGCTGCTTCTGGACGATCTGCAGACGAACAACACCGTTGCGTTCATTTTCAGTCCAACTCGCTGACATTAAAACCGCGTCTACGGCAGAACACAGATGTTCTCTATTCTTGTTGAGTCAGGTTTAAACCAGCGGTGATCCGGAGCTCTCTCACCTCTCTCTCTCTCTGTTTGATGTCATTGATGAATTTAAACGTCTTCTCAAAAATCTCAGGTTTGTATTCTCCAGACAGGTCGTCAAATCGAGGATCTCTCGACGTCTTTAAAGAGAAAACAAGACAGGAACAGAATAATTGAAGCATGTATAAGAACACAGACTGTGTGTAGTCTGCAGATCTCCTTCACTCACCGGCTTCCTGACGGAGACGACCTGACGGAGGAACGGAGCTCGTCTCTTGGCTGAAATCTCCATCGGCCTGAAAACACAAACACACAAACACGTCTAGAACACACACGAGGGGTGAATACTAAAAGACGGAGCGGCCGTCTGCAGTTGCTGAGACGTGCTCACCTGTTCTTGTTCAGTCGCTTCTTTCTGCTGGAGGCCTGAGTCTTGTTGCTGCCGTACGCCACCTCGTTGTAAACTTTGGTTCCCACTTGGTTCTGCAGCTTCATGACTTCCTCGAAGGACATGATGGAGAGTTCTGGGCGGGTCAGAGAACAGAGAGAGTCACAGTTTACCAAGAGAAGTCCGTCGTCGTCACTGTACGCCAAGTAAACGTCAGCGCCGGTTTGATAGAAACCGTAGATTCTGTGTTGCTAGAGGACATCTCCACGTTTCTCTCTTTATCCCACTAAGTGTGAGAACATATGAGAGAAGACAAACCGTCAACAGGTTTTACAAACTCACGCTGTGCAGCCAAACTTTGTTCAATCACGTCAGACTTCGGTTTATATTCTAGCGGAGATCTGAACGTTTCCAACGACACCAAATATGAATAGGTTGAAGTATTTCCTATTTGATGGACTGATTTACTAGAATTGACCTCCTTGTGGTCGTTATTCCCGTCAAGTTGCAGATTACATTCATGTTTGTCCAAAATGTCATCACTCCTGTGTTGCATAATGACAATAAACGATCCTTGAACCTGAAATCCCCTCAAGGCGTTACTGAGAATGTCCGAATGCTCACGATTATGATCTGTTCTCAGGAATCCCAGTGGGATTATCCTGATTTAATAAAGGTTATATAAAAAATAATATACTTAAGAGACTCGGGGCTCGACAGCAATGATTCATTGGTAATCTCAGCAGTAAGAACAGAGCAGCTTTGTTCACTGATGTCAGACGTTGAGGAGAACCCTCAACACTTAAATTAAATAAATGAAAAGTCCTCTCAGTGGACGGGTGTTGACTGAACGAGGTCGTTTCAGTTCTCCGTGTTTGATGTTCTGCTGATAAACTCACCTTTCTTCATGTCGTCTCTCATCTGGACCTCGCTGCTACCGCCGGCCACCTCTGGACCTTCATCGACATCTTCCTCGGAGGCTTCACTGTCTTCGTCCTCCTCTTCTTCCTCACCACCATCCGATCCCTCCTCGCCTCCCTCCTCCTCCTCCTCCTCCTCCTCCTCAGCACCGCCATCGGACCCCTCTTCCTCTTCGTCCTCCTCACTGACTTCTTCTTCTTCTTCTCCTCCGTGGTGCGGCTCCCCCACCTCAGCTACTCTTCCTCTTTCAGTGAGCAGGGCGAAGTTCCTCTCCACGTCAGAGTCTTCATCCCCGCTGCTGCTGCTGCTCGCCGCCATATTCTTCTTCTCTGAGACTTTCACGTCCCGCCGCTGCTTCTCTTTCCCCTTCATCGCGGTTTCTGTGGTTCTGGGAGATGAAGACGGTGGAAACCCAGAGAAGTGTTAGAACTGATGGAAGTTTGGGACAGAAGGTATTTCCATTTAATGCTATTTTATACTTCTCCTCTACTACATCTCAGAGGTAAATATTGTACTTTTTACATTTGTCTGACAGCTTTAGTTAGTTCTTCATCTCCTTCCTGTCCAAAGAAAACCTTGTATCTCCAGATGTGATGATGTTGAAAGTTTGTGATAAACTGAAGGATGAAATGTTCCTTTGTGTGTTGATAAAAGTCAGTAAGAGGATAACATCCATGCCTCCATCTTTTCTGTTTTGTGAGTGCTCTAAAAAAAAATGATGGAAAGATGTTTTGCAATTTCTTATTGACAAGATTTGGCATTATTTTATGAAAATTTGAACTGTACATGATCTTGTACCAATAAACAGGCCTTAAAACTGTCAGGACGTTGCCTGTAAAGTATGTAAACATACAATTATAAATTCTCCCTTAAATATTTATTTGTATTATTGATTTACTTATTTTAATTTTTTTAATTATTTTCTATGTATTACATTTTTTTTTTTGCTATTTTTCCCAATTTGTTTGAATGAATGATTTTGCACGTGCAATTTGCTAAAAAAATATTTATATATATAAAAAAAGGAAGATTACGCGCCATCTTGGATTTTTACATTCGTTGTAACAAGGACTCCGTACAAAATACAGCGTTTTGTGACTTCCTATCGGGTTTACAGATATAAAAACAGGGCAGCATACGATTTAAGATATGTTAGTGTATCGATTAGGAGTTACACTTGGATTCGGGATCATTTCTGCCCAGTTTTGATGCAGATGTTTTAGAAATATTAATGTTTTATTTTGTTAACTTGGTCTCACTTAACGTTGCTTATTCGGCATCAACTCGTAACGGAAAGTAGTCCGGAGCGACGTAAACATGTCGTCCACATTACGGACAAGAGGCTCCAACTCACTCTATAGTGGTTCAGATGACAATGATGTGTATTTACCTTGTTATCAAGTTATTTAAATCCTCTTATGCTGAGTTCTGTTATCCACGTGTGTTCGTGTTGGCTGCAAATTTCACTCCAGGAAGATAAATTGAGCACTTCCGGTTTCAAAATAAATGTTTCACCGTATTGTTCGACGGGTTTGGACAACATTAAGGAACAAATGTGTTGCCATTTCATCCGGGCATATTTATTTTTTAACACAGATGCCTTCTCTGGTTTATTATTGTTCTGCTTCCAGTTAGGTATTATTTTCTTACACTGTTATTTTGTAGGGAAAATACTAACTTCATGCGCAGTGCTGCCCTCTGCTGGTCAGACATAGCTATTACCGCATTAATTAACAATTTGTTTTAAAATTAAACTCTTCTTACATTTTTCTCTACAATCATCTACAATAAACGTATTTTCATTACCTTCATCAACTCTGAATGTGTTTGTATTCTTTTTAAATGAGTCCATTCACACATGTGATGGTTTTATTTATGCACTGTGACCGTTTCTGTGTCCTTGCAGGTAAAACAAAATACATATGAAGTGAAAATATACACATATTAATTTTGTTTATTTAGCACCTGGAGGTATCTGTTATTACTGCTGTTATTGTGTTGTCCAATCCCATTGTCCCTAGGGTCCACAGGTCCATGACGTGCTGATGGTGCTTCTCTTCGTCCAGAACCAAAGCGCTGATATATTATGGGGTTATTTCTGTCTTTATTATGTAATCAAACAACTTTACACACTGCAATAAAAAAATAGTTAGATGAATACTAGTGGAGTAAAACCACTAGTTAAATATATATATATATATATATATGATATTAAAATGTAGTAAGTAAAGCACACGTGACTCCAAAGAAATAAAGATGAAGATGACCGGATTAACTTCAGGATCTGAATAAAGAGGCAAAAATAATAATTTATGTTTCACACACCAACGAGAGAAACGAGGAGGAGTTTATTCTCGTTGCCAGGAGATCCTGGTGACGAGCTCCATCAATTTCTACTATTGGAACCGGAATATTGGCAACAAACCCTTCAAAATAAAAACGCGTAAAAGTTGATATTTTCAACGATAGTGGTAAAAAAAAAGAAAAAAAACACTTGTTTTCACATAAGACATTATGTATATTTGAATTAAATACCTTTTTACACAAATTACAGTGTCTGTCAATTAGTTTGAGTCCACATTAGGGGGAAAGAAAGCAGACTTTCACCTCAGTACAATGTTGAGCTATTGCCTACATGAATAGTTCAATTTTGTGCCACTTTAACTTCCACTACAGATGGGAGGAAAATATTTTACTTTTTACTCCACTACATTTATTTAACAGCTTTACTTATAAGTTACATTGCTGATTCAGATTACAAAGTCAACTATTAAATCATTAATGTTATAAGCATATACTTTAACTTAGCCACCCACCTTCACCAACTGTAACATTAACTATTCTTACATATTAATGCATCTATAATTATAATCGAATAACACAATATTAATACATGGAGCTTTTTGCATAACAAGTACTTTTATATTTGGTACTTTAATTATATCTTGATGTTAATACATTTTTAATGCAGGGATTTTGCTAGTAAGAGTATTTTTTATCCTGTGGTATTAGGGTAGTACTTTTACTTAAGTTTTACTTTAAGTTAAAGATCTTTAATATTTCCTCCACTACTGCCTTTTAGTAATTAATTTAAATTAGATTCATCATTGATCTATTTATTACAATTTCTTTATCATTGTCTGTGGTTTTATTATTTTTATGTACTATTATTGATTCAAAGATCTGGAACCAGGAGACTGTAAGCTAACAAATCCGGCCTTTTATTGTGAAAACTCGTCCCGGAAGTGTTGTTCTGCTCTCCAGCGGTGCGCCGGCTGGTGACCGGTCTGCGTTGATTGAATGGTTTTGATCCAAACACGCTCACAAGTCAGACGGATCCTGGATGTTGAGCAGGATTACCGCTCAGCGGGAGAGCTGCTGCAGCTTTGTCATCAAAACTACTCACGTTTTATTTTGTAGGCGGGGGGTGTTTGTTATCTCCTGCAGCCTCATGCACAGCTTCTGCGAAACCATCCTCTTTTCTTCTTCTTCTTCTTCTTCTCTCCAGAGGGATCGGACCGCAGACACAGGGAATTAAAGGCCCGCTGGTTCACTGCAACAGGTCGAGGAGGAGCTGATATTTATATATTTATATTGAAATGATAATAAAGATGAATGTGATGTGAATGAAGCGGACAGAGGAGACACACGGACCGCAGAGGAGGAGGATGCGTTAATGGTTTCGGCTGCAGTCTGGGTGCGACAGAGCGGAAAACTGCCAGCATGATGCCGGTGAGTGTAAAACACTTCATTCTGTTTTATTTATGTGGTTTTTCACCTGTTACTGTCTCCATATAAACTGGCACCATCCTCATTACTACTACTGCAGTTTATTTCTAAACAGAATTTCTTAATTTAACATGTTAAAATCTTATATTAATGCTAAGGAAAGCAGTATCTGAAATGGGTCAGATATCTATATAGTGCTGCTCTTCAAATGTTGATTTTCGGGGTTTTATCCCTGACTGAACTAGAGCTTTAGTGATAATTGTGTATATCCATTAACATTGTCTTCACATAATTGTAATGTGTCAAACTTCTGTCATCAAAGTGTTGAGGGTCCAGGTCTGTATAGCTGCCCTTTACAGCACTGAGGCCATGTTCTCTGACTTTTGTTTTTTAAATGTGAAGAACTTAGTCAACAATCTACAATGTTGGTAGAATGGTTTACGTGGTGGTGATTTTATATGTACTACTGGACTTTTAGGACAAATGACAAAAAGGTATAAATGATCGGTCACCAGTCTTTGAAACAGCATGCACCCTCTCTTTTTGTTGAATCAAATTGACAGAATATATAATTGAACTCGAGTTAAGCATGGTGGACAATAACATGACCTCCGTATTATTCATGGTCCAGTGTGGTTCATTCAACCTATCATACATATTTATATTCTGTCAAACTCCCAAAAAACAGACTTTGACTCTATTATCAATACAATCGCCTTCCTGTTCATATTAATATATATATATATATTAATATTAATATATATATATATATATATATATATTAATATTAATACTCCTTCCACCAATAATGCTGATATAGCATGTTTTAATAATAATAATGAAGCTTTAACTCTGCTGTATGGCCATTATAAGGGATTTAAATATCTTTAAAATGAGCCACAACTACCACATGCGCTGCATTTGCATTGTTTTCATTTTTCTCCAAAAAGGACTGAAGGTCAACTTTACCTGCTTTTAAATAACAAGAGAAAACATTCAAAGAACACCGGTATGGCCCTTTAAATTGAAGCAGTGTTCAGGCGTCTAAGAGTGATACGAAACAATAAGAAGATTTATGAATCACTGGTGTAACATTTATAAATGTGATCACACTGTATGAAGTAGAACTCATGTAATGGTCTCAGGTTAAACGGAGGATAAACATGACTTCCTGGATCAACACCATCAGAGTGCTCATCAGAAGATGCAGATCTGAGAAGGGAAACGTGTTTTGTGTTTGTGACCTGACGGAAATCTCCCCGTCGTACTCGCAAATGTCCCGACCAGACGCTCTGAGATCAGCTCCCCACTAATAATAGAACACCGCCATTGTGCCATTGTCTTCACTGCGTATGGAGGTATTCCCCAGGTTTAAAAGACCTTTTCGCCCACGCTGCTGCAGTGCAGCTTCATCCTCCGTTTGACTTCTTTGACATTTGTTGGGTTTTCGTCTCTCCTGAAACTCACCATGATAATGTCCCCTGTTAAGTAATCTGTGATTCATTCATTCTGTTGGTGGGGATGTTGCGTTAAAGTCAGTTTCCCTGTTGATTTTCTGTTAACTTTAGCTCAACTTCCACCCCGATTAGTCATCTCTACAACACCTGACCGGAACGGAACAGCAACGTTAATCACAGGATAATGCCCGTCTTATTGTATATGTCAACAAATCCCATTAAAAGACCCAAACCAACAGCATGTTAGTGCGTCTCTCAGCACTTTCTGACTTCCTGTCAGTGGCTCTCAGCTCCAAGCCCATTGGTTCATACTGTCAAATCATTAAAAACACAAATATATAGTTTCATCTTTAGAAAGGTTTCAGGGATTTTATTAAAACAGCTGCTGTAGTTTTTATCAAACAAACCGGAGGAAATGGAGCATTTGTTGGGGACTATTTTCAGCGGTGGATCAATCCACATTTGGTGCTCTAGTGTGTGTGTGTGTGTGTGTGTGTGTGATTGAGTCAAAATAAACTACACTGTGTGTGTTCATGGTGATGTGATGGAAGAACAGATATCGGGCTTTGATACACACACAACGCTGGTTAGTCGATACATTCACCGTCGGTTTGGGTCTGAACATGAGATTAGTTGACAAGAAATATAGAATCTCCTCAGATTTATCCTTTAAGCTCTAACCGCAGTCACGGAGGGCAAAGGGAGGCAGACTTCCATCAACAATAAAACGTCTTGAATCAAAAGTCCAATCCAGTGATCTGCATTCACAAAAAGATAATCAATGTCTTTTACCAACTCTTTGCACAGACCAGGATGAAGGTGAGATCCGGTGTTTAGAAGAACACGTGCAGATTCTAGTGGCTGAAACTCATGACAGGTGATGACATTCTCTGTATTTGGAAGTTTTTTCCAGCAGACTAAATAGTTTTGTTGGATGGGTTATTGTTGTAAGGCATAACTCCGGCATACTGAGAAATACAGAAAGCTTTCCCTGGTGGCGCTGTGCTTCATCAGCATTGCGTGAACTCGTTTGGAACGGGCTTGAATGCGACAGGCGTTCATTTATATGTAAAACACACCAGCATTCATCAAACCACAACTTTACTCCAAAGTGGGTTCATTTGAACGGAATTATTGGGATTCAGCAACATCAGATGTGTCTAAAATCTAAAACATTTGAATGAAAGTGAGATGGTTTTCAGATGATCGGGTATCTTCCCCCTCGCGTGTTAAAGGATAAATGAGGAACACGATGAGATGGAGGAGGAAGGTCTGTTTGAGGAAATAAAGAGCTGAACTTCTCTTTCCAGAAACCTTGTTGTTATTCAGACAGCAGTGTGTAACATCCACACAGTGGCTGACATTCAGAGAGCTGCAGCTCTGACAACAGACGAAAAACAAAGGATTCAGACCTCAGATCTGTCTAAAAGTGACTGTGAATTTGGTGCAACTCTCTCAGTCTGTGTTTAGTGTTTAGTACGTGACTCCAACAGCAAAATCATCCCTAAACGTTTCGTACGTGCTTCCTCTGCGACGCAGCGCACCCTGATCATTACGATGCGTCCTCATCTTGCAGGCAAGGGCTCAGCCGAGCTCGCCTTGCTGCTTGGTAACTGTTGCCACAGTGACCAGAAACACACACACACGCACACACACACACACACTCGCACGCTGTTCAAGGTCATGTGGGAAGAGTTTTGTGTCAGTATTCCTCATACGATAAGGAACTATCGCAGGGAACCGTCATGGTTTACGACATCAGCCTGATGCTGATGTTCATATCTAACATCTGATATTTTCTTCCGTTTTTTTGTCGAGCTTGCGAGGCTTTAGTGCGACACAACAGACGACACGGAGCAGCGTTCTGTTGCTGCATCCTGACCACTAGTGGGGCATGACAAGGCGCTTTCACACCTTAAGCCAAGCTCAAGACTTTTTCACAATCGTCAGACCGCTGTGTGGAGCACACACCTAATCGGGGAGGTCTTGAAGTCGTTAAAGTGGCGACGTGGGGGTCACACACACTGCTAGATCTTTCACCAGTAGGAAGTGACGCGTGAATAGACGTTATTTGGGGCTTTTGTCGGGCAGCTCCAAAAACTCGGCGAGTGTAAAATCGGGGCTAAAGTCGTGTAGTGTGAACTAGCCGGAAGCTAACACGTTAACAACACTCATCGGGGGCCGTTCGCATGTTGCGTCTAAAAACACGTGGAAAACGTGCTATTACTCGGTAACCAAAACCTGCAATGATGATGACGTTGCGGTAATTTAGCAGCGAGCCTCACTGACTGACCTTAACAAAGCCAAAGAGAATATATTCCAGAATCCTTTTCCGTGTCAATTTGGCTGACCTTTCGAAAAGTGAAGCAAGGAAACGGGGATAGTTATTAACAGTTAATGAATAAGATTCACATTGTTACTCATTTTAATTAACAAACTACTGGGTATGTGTAACAAGAGCTACCAGTCTGTCATCAAATTGGATTAATGTGTAAAAGCTCCCAAGTCAGAATGATGGGGGGGGTTCCTGTTCATCCCATTCTGCTGACACGGTTTGAATGCAGCTTTAATCTGTTTATGTCACAATAACATTTAGCACGTCGGTGTAATTTGGTAATGATGACGGGACTTTGGTGGGTTTAGAGGTTTATCATTAGACAAAGGCAGCCGGGCCGCTGACTGTCGGTCGATTGGTTAATTGATTTAATCAGTGACCTGTTGGTGAACCTCGGAGAGTTTGTCCCTAACCCCTCCGTGACAGACAATTAATTAGTGACTCGGAAATATGTGTGAACGATCCCAATATGCAATTTTTAATGTGCAGCAGGCAGCCAATCAGAGAGCGGTTTCAGAGCTTCCAGCAATAGTTCAGTGGAAGCGTCCTGTGTTGATGTTGTTGACTGTGGTTGAGTCCTGAACAGCAGGCGGGGTTTGGTGTGTGTGTGTGTGTGTGTGTCATTAATCCAATATTGGTGCGTCACGTGATGCTGTCGGCCATATGGCTCCAGCCGTCCACGCCGCCTACAAAACATTTGTGATGCGCCAGCTGCCGCCACGTTTTCCTCGAGCAGGAAACAGAAGCAGACACAGCAGGACTGAATGAAAACTTCAATCATTCATTTTAATAACAATGCAGGATATATATTTTGTTGCAACTTTGTTTGGCTTGTTGCCTGTTTACGCCCAAAAACAAAACTTCTTTTCACATTCAGTTAAATTGTTTTATCTTAAGTCTGATAATGTTTGTCTTCAATACAGTTAAAGAAAATGATTTAGTTAAGATAAGATGAACCTTTTAAAAAGGACATTCTGTTGTTGTTGCTGCAGCACAAGGATAGAAGTAGTACGGATACATAGAGCAAGTAAAACAAATAAAAGATACGAGGTATATGAAAAGTAAAATAAGAAGAGAATAATAATATGTGACTATGTGATCAATAACAGTGTACACTGTCATCGTTATAAATCTTAACATTTTTCCTGATGCGTCTTATTTTCTCAAAAGAGGTCATAATCACTGATCGGTCTGCAGCTTTGTTGTTAATTCAAAGTTAAATTGGTGCTATAATTCTTTGTTAGTAGAGCTGGATATTGTTCGACGTGTGTCACTACTAGCGTTGGTACAAAACCTCAGTTTCAATAACGATACCATTGAACAGCATCTCCCCCGTGTTCCATTCTGGCCTCCAGGCCTTTTGTTGCATGTCATTTGCCCCCCCCCCTCCCTCCCTCCCTGTTTCCAGTCTGCCTCTACACATGTCATCTGTCTAAAGAAGGTGAAAAAAGCCCCCCCCCCCCCCCAAAAAAAAAAAAATGATAATAATATAACATAATAATAATGTTAATTCAAAACGTCCCGCTATAAATAGCGAGCAGTGTTGACACGCGTTGGTCTGTTCCTCGTTGCATGTGTTAGTAGTGGAGCGGTCAGAGCTCCGCGTTGGTGAAACCTCCTTGTTTAGTTTTTGAAGAAGCTGTTGACGTGTTGCAGACAGAAGATGGTTCGTTAATTTCCTCGCTCGCAGCAGAGGGTTGTTGTGGGCCGGTTGGTGGTATTAAGCTGCGTGATGCTGCGCTAATTCCTGGCTGGATTAAGAGCTGCATCCTCAGGAGTTTAATGAGGCCTCAGACTGGCTGACTGACTGACAGACGGGTGTGCTTCCTGTTGTAAGCTGTCACTGTCACCTGTTCTGGGTGTTCATGGAAATGAATCAGCCTTTTGCCCTCTGTATATATTTTAGATAAGAGAGACTCCAAGCAAAACTTACAGGGTCACTCTGTAGGCCGGATTAGAGAGCTCGGTAGCTCCATCCATGACAAGTTGTGTCAGAAAAATGGCAGCAAGCAGCATTCCACCACTCTCAATATGCCAACTATGTCTATAAGATTATGGTGCTAAGTACATTTACTCAAATACTATTATGAATCTACATCTCAGAGGTTAATATTGTACTTTTTACTCCACTCAATTTTGTCTCAGAGCTTTATATACTTTTCAGATTACAGTTGTTTTTTTTTAATCTCCAGATGTGTTGATGTTGAATGTTTGTGATGAACTGAAGGATGAAATGTTCCTTTTATGTGTTGATAAAATCCTCCTACTTCTTCACTTCTTCAGATTAATAAACCCTTTAAAAAGCCTCGTGGATCAGCTGGAAGATGCTTCATAACAAAGCTGAAAACAGGTTGTTTGTTCTTTCTAGAGATACGAGGTTCTCACAGGACAGAGACGCTACAAACACGTGATGATCTTATAGAATAAGATGCTTTGATGTAGATTAAACTAAACAGGATATAAATGAGTTAAAAACATCTACAGCAGTAAAATGTAACATACACATTAATGCAGCAGTGATATTAATCCAATGACATCATGTGTAATAGTCAAACACTGACAGGGAACATTTTACTGCTCTATGAGTACTTTACCTTTCATACTTTAAGTACATTTTACTGATAATACTTGCATCATTTTACTGTAGTAAGATTTTGAATGCAGGACTTTTACTTATACATGCTATGCTCACGTTAGCAGCTTTACACGTCAATGTATAGCACGCCAGCAGTGACGTCGTGAGCGGCACACTGTACCAGTACCCAGGACGTAGTGAGGTTCTGTAACCAGCCTCACTGACGACAGGAGGTCTCCCTCCCTGTGGCCGTCCTGAGGGACAGACAGCACCTCCCCTCCCTGCTCTGATTGGCTGCGGCACTTTCTGGTCGACCTCAGTTTGGGTGACTGACGGCAGTGACCCACTTCATCCGCAGGAACCTGAAGGAAGACAGCGGTGCTCCAGTTTCCCATCAGAGCTCCATGTAGGACAGCTAATTCATCTCTGTCACGGAGTCTGTTGACTTTATCATTGTTAATGAAGGAGGGACTAAAAAGATGTCTTGATCACTGAGATTCTCTGTTGACGATGACACCGGTTAACTGATGCTTAAGCAGTAGAAATCTCCCATGAGCCACCTCTGCAGACCACCGAATGGTCCACAGTGTTACATGATGCCCTCTTTGAATGTGGCACCTCATTTACATTTGCTGCGGCTCAGAGTCCACTGTGTGTCTGGTAACCATTTAGTTTGAGTAACAGAGCCGACAAAGTGAAGTATTACCACAAAAAAAATCCTCTCCCTCAGTAATTAGGATTTAAAAAGCCCAAAATTTAGCGTTTTTAGCTGGAAACAGCTCGCCGTTTAAGCTCTTTGATGGCGACTCTGTGTACTCAATCCCAATTCCTCTCTGCCAGGTTCACACTTTATCCGCTGCCTCCAAGTGAGGAAATACATCCTCAGAAATACAACAAATCAGCTCCAATTCATCCTGCTTTCAGACAGTCGTCATGCATCCAACCAATCTCACCAACACGTATTGGATGGACCGCCGTGAAATCTCGTACAGACGTTCATGTTCCCCAGAAGATGAATCCGTACTCACTTCAGTGATCCTCTGACTTTTCCTCCAGCGCCGTCATCAGGTCGACATTTAATGTGTCCGATACTTTTATGTGTTTGTGACCATACAGCACTTAGAGCTACATAGTCTGTATTAAACGTGCTCTACAAATAAAGATTATTATTATTTACCCATGCATCAGGAGTACCTGATAATGTGTTTTTACTCCGGTTGGAGCTTTTATGCATGAGCTTCATTCCAACCTCGGTAACAGCCGACAACATCTGCATGTAAATGATGCCGCAGTCAGTTTCAGAAAGGTCAAAGAAGGTTCCTCATATTTCACGTCAGACCAAGTGGAACGAAGTGAAGACAGAGACGAGGGATGAAGCCAGCTCAGCTCTGGCAGGTTGAATGTTCAAATCCTCCGAGCAGCTCCACAGAGGAACGCGTACATGCGGCTCAAAGTCCTCCGACGAGCCGCTGAGCAAGCCGTTTCTCAGCACCACCCACCCGGCATAAATAAAAACTTGAAACGCTGCCTCCGTGCCGGTTGGCGGGCCGTGGGAGCCGATCTGGCTCTGGGCCCGACAGCAGATACCCTGCTGGAGTAACAGATGGCCCAGTGCATCATGGGAGTTATGTCCACACATATCTATTATAGTCCTAAACAGCACAGGAAGCTGCCGTAAAGGTGAAGAAGGCAGGTTGAGTGTGTCGCATCACATACTGGTTTAACTATCAACACAATCTGTTGAAGGACATGCCAATGTTTTAAAGGCACAGGAAACTGGTGTTTCATTCGTATGTCGCCATCGCCAATTTCTTTCTGTTGTTTCCAAAATTTTATTTCCTGGTTCAGATGCTCTGTTTGGTTACAGAGAATGAAATATAACCCTCGTTTTTCCTGGTGTGTTTGTAGATGTTCCTCACCGTGTACCTCAGCAACAACGACCAGCACTTCAGCGAGGTTCCCATCATGCCGGAGACGCTGTGCAGAGATGTGGTGGAGCTCTGCAAGGAGCCGGGCGAGGCCGACTGCTACCTGGCCGAGACGTGGAGAGGCTCGGGTGAGTTTCCACTTAAAAACATAAATAAATATATCTTATCTTATCTTATTAAGCTAACACACTGGTTTCTTATCTGACTTTCCTGAAATAAGCAGTCTTATGTTTTTGATTTTCAACCCATCAGAACATGTCGTTGGAGAAGGGGAGCGGATGTTGGAGGTGTTGCAGCGATGGGGGCAGCAGAGGGGGGAGGTTCGCTACCTCCTGCGTCACCAGAGAGCTCCAGGAAGAGAGTCGGGTAAGGAAACACCTGTCTTGCCACCGCACAACGGGATGCCACGTGTTTCTATGTGGGAAGCCAGTGAGGGATCGTGTTCTTGTCGCTGCACAGCGGACGGGGGATTTCTACTCCTCACAGGTATGAAAAGAAGCAGCTGGTGACTCCATGTGTGTCCATGAGGTGATACATGGCTGTCTACATCCTCCACAGGACAACAGTGGACGGTTCACAGAGATAAAGACCTCAGTGCAGAGGACCGGGCCGTCCAGAAACAGGGAGAAACACGGTGAAGAATAAAACTGAAGGAAAGAAACACAATATAGTTGAAAGGTTTGCAGTCTCCTGCCTCAAAGCTTGATTGACTCCAGTTTCTTGTGAAGTCCTTCCCCACCTCAATGGTGGTTTGCCATTTTTCACCCAGAGGAAGACTAAGAAATCTGAGTGCCCTTTAAATTTGATTATGATTTTGTGTAAAGACTTGACAGAATTATCTGAACAGCCTCCAGTTACGCAGAGTTCAGATTACACAATATCAGTCTGATAACACTCCGACCTGGCAGTGTGAAAGCGAGAGAGGAATGTTAGGTGGAGCAGGGACCTGGCAGCTCCTTCCCCAACACATCGAGTCACAGACGACGTGATAAACGACCAGCTGTGATTGGTCGAGGTCAAACACGTAGTCTGCCAAGTCACAGCAAGACTTCCTGACTCTGACTCAGGTGTTGTGCAGATGTAGATTACTGCATCTGTGTATCCTGCTGACACTGTCATTGTGAGTCTGATTTCTCTTTTATAGTTTCTCGTTTTACTCTCTTCTTTTTATTCGTACATGCTTCTAATTATTTATTTATTTCTGTCCTTTATTCATCGCTGCAGCTACAAAAAAATGAAATTCATTAAAGCCGCATCTTATAACAAAAACACTTTAAATGTGATTCCATCTTGTACTTTGGAGATTTGGTAGGAATCACTTTGTTTAGCTTCAAAACTCTTGATATTTTATTTGCCGTAAATTGTAGCTGAGAAAGTGCAAACTCATCTTAATTAGTAGTAAAAGTGCTTGTCAAGAGTGGAGTCAATTCTGTGGAGAAATATGACAAACTTACAAAATCTCCCTCCAGACAGACGATCAGATCACTGAGTATAAATACTTCCAACAACTGCCTTCAGCTGAGTATTCCTAGTAATCCAGTTGTTTTTTTTGTGCATGTGGAATTAAAGTGCAGATCAACAGCAGGATGGTCTGTACAGTAATGGAGGAGGCTCAGTGTGTTACAGTAGATGACAAACTGTAATCAGCTTATGACTCAAGGGAGTCGGGCGTGCAGCTGCTGGACTCCGTGGAGGTTTTTTTCTATGGATTGTGATTTGTTGTTTATTTCTGTCCCAAAAACAAAGAAATCCCCTGAGGTTTTCCTGTGCTGATGAACCGTCGGACAGTTTCCTCCATCAGGTCATTGTAAGACCTGATCTCTTAAATACTGTGCAGAAAAAAACCCATTACCTCAGAGGATAAGGCTGGTGTTCTTTTATATTGTTCTTATAGCCAACAAATCCCACGTGCAGCCTGAAACCAACAGCATGTTAGTCTGTCTCCCAATATTTCTGACTTCCTGTCTGTAGCTCTCAGCTCCAAAGCCCATTGGTTCTTACTGAAAATGTAAATATATTAAACCACAAATATATAGTTTTGTTTAAAGGCTCAGTAGTTTCCTAAAACAGCTGTTCACTGTAGTTTTTATCAAACAAACTGGAGGAAATAGGGCATTTGTTGGGGACTATTTTCAGCAGCAGCTTTATTCACATTTGGTGCATGGGGATGTATGTCAGACTCAAGCACAACACCCAGATTTCTGACCTGTGGGTTTTTTTCCCAGATTTTTTAGCACCAATGACAAACAATTAGTTTTGTTCTTGTTGCGCTTCAGAACGTTGTGGGATGTCGATGTCTGTGAGGGTTTACGAGGACGGGTAGAACAGTGTGTCATACGCCTAATTATGATAACAGAAGTTGATTTCAACACAAGTTGATGGGGGATGTCATTAGTTCTGCAGGTATTTGGTCGTAAATCAAAAGCATTGGACAAATGTTGACCTGTTGGTGGCGCTAGATTCGAAGTCAGAGGGTCACTGTTAATCCTTGGGGGACCATTGATGTCTGTGCCAAATTTCACCGCAATCCATCCAAAAGTTTATAAGAAATTTCATTCCGAACAATCCTGAGAGCCACACTGCTGGCAGCGCTGGAAATGCAAAATTTGCATTAACACTCATTTCGTTTTTATATCCAGGTGGATCCAGAGCTGCAGATCAGATGATGAAGAGGAACCAGGTGAAAGCGTCTGTGGAGAGATGTCTGGAGAACGGGGTGAGACACTTTCACAGTTTTCGTGCGTCCAGTACAGGGACGTGTTTAGCCTCGCTCAGCACAAAGACTGGAAGCAGGGGGAAACTGTTAGCCTAGCTCCATCAAAAGAGAAACTAAATCCAGCAGTTAGCGTTGGAGCTATTGTCGGCACGCTAGAGCCTCCGCCACCTGTGCCGTCATTTGAATGTACAGAAAGCTGTTTGCGTCTCTGAAAGTTCATGTCCATTTGAAGGTGAACTCTGACTGTGTGTGTGTGTGTGTGTGTGTGTGTGTGTGTGTGTGTTGCAGGTCTCGGCTCCTCGTCTGGACGTGACACTGAGCGACCTGCAGGATCTGGCAACTAGACAGCAGCAGCAGATTAATGCACAGCAGCAGCTGCTGGCCTCCAAGGTACGAAACACCCAACACTCTACTGCTAATGCTAGTACTGATACTGCTATTACTATTACTGCCATTGTTACTGCTATCATTACCCATAATAGTACACTCATACAAAGACAGCATTGTGTTTATTAGACACATATTATTGGGAAATTGTAATGCTCGCCTAAAGAAGCAGGTTGACAGTTGCTTTACTATTATCCTATTATTTATCTCAGGAATCTAAATAAACAGGGAAATAAACATTTATACAGAAAAAAAAAACCAGTGCCACCAAAAAATACGTAAATAAAAAAATACATTTCTGGGGAGCGAAGTGTCCACACCTTCCTGACTTTAAAGGCACCTCGACATGCAATCAGCTCAAACAGAGCTATTAACTGAATGTGTTTGCCGGGTGTTGCAGGAGCAGCGGCTGCGCTACCTGAAGCTGCAGGATCAGCGGCAGCAGCAGCCGGAGACGTCTGACCAGGAGCGACTGCAGCAGCTCAGAGAGAACGCACACAACCAGGAGGCCAAGCTGCGACGGGTCCGGGCCCTCAGGGGCCAGGTGGAGCAGAAACGCCTCAGCAACAGCAAGCTAGGTCAGTGTGACGACGGCGGTCTGGGTTGGCTAATTAACCGTTTATATATATATATATATATATATATATATATGCGCTCACCCAGTCCTCTTATTCATCTGTGGCTCCTGTGTTCGTTGTTCCAGTGGAGGAGATCGAGCAGATGACCGGTCTGTTCCAGCAGAAGCAGAGAGAGATGCTGGTCGCCGTGTCGAGGGTGGAGGAGCTGAGCGACCAGCTGGAGGTGCTGAGGAGCAACAGACTGGAGGCTCTTCTTCCTCCTCCTCCTCCTCCTCATCCTCTCCATCACCACCACAACACCTCCTCCACAGCTGAGCTGGAGCGCCTCTATAAAGACCTGCAGGTGAGACCTACGATAATTTATCAGTCCTTCATAGACCAAACGATTAACCTTTCATAGATTAATCGTTTGGTCTATGAAATGTCATAAAGTAGTACAAAAATGACTCAACACGATTCCTCAGAGCCACGGTGACGTCTTCAAAAGATATTTTCAAAACATACCTTCACTGTCAGTGTTCATGATGCTAACTAGCTCACTAGACAGCGACAAGCTAGTGTAGCTAGTTTGAGCTTAGCGGAAAGGCTACGCTAACTAGCTAATGTAGACGTCGCAATGTTAGCTTCCGTCGTACCAGTTTTTTGACTGCGCTCCGTCCCTGACACGGCAGTTGAGGAACAAGTTGAACCAGGACCAGAGCGGCAGGCTGCAGCAGCAGAGAGACAGCCTGAACAAGAGGAACCTGGAGGTGGTGTCGATGGACCGACGGCTGGCCGAGCTCCGCCAGCGACTCTGGAAGAAGAAGGCTGCCCTGCAGCAGAAAGAGAACCTGCCGGTGAGTTCACACAACCAAAAAAAGTATATAATAATATTTACAAAATATTTACTTTTATTTTCTAGAGAGATTCTATTGGTCCTTTGTACTGGGGCAACTTGTAGTGAGCTTAGAATCAGGATAAGCCTTGTTGTGTAGCGACCTTCAAGTAGCTATTGTATTGAGCTAAGTATTCAGATCTTTTACTTAAAATTGCTAAATTCCAAATTCAGAGCATATATGATTGAGGGATTGCCTCCACATGGCTCTCAACATGGCGAGGGCTGAGCCCGGCAGCTAGCAGCTAAAGTTGCAAACAGCGCTAACAGTGCCAACAACAGCAGCAGTGCTGACAGAGCTAACAGTGTTTACCTGGAGCTGAGTGCAGAGTGGCTGCGATTAGCTAGCCAGTGGGGCGCACACACACACACACACACGTACACGCACAGGGACTCTCATGCATTTAACATGCACGAGTGGCCGGACCGGCTATATAAACAAAGCACATAGAAGCTTGAAAACACCACTGAGAGAGAGAGTGTGACTTCATTCTCTGCTGGGGTAAACTTTACTCCACTATATCTTTACATAGCAAATAGCTACATTAATGCTCTGAATTTTGAACGAAACACCTGTAATACCTGTTTACAAACTGTAAAAATATTCTTTAACAAGTCCTGCATTGAAAGAAGTATAATTAGGAAAAATGTCCCATCTGACTGTTATACTATTATATATTATATCATGAGATTATTACGTCTCATTTTGAACTAATAACTAATGATTATTTTCATTATGGATTAATCTGCTGATTATTTTCTCCATTAATTGTTTAGTTTGTAAAAATAGTGAAAATATTGAAATGCCGTCACAGTTACTCAGAGCCCAAAGTATCACCTTTACAATATTTGTTTTGCCCAACAGTCCAAACCTCAACATTATTACATATTATAATTATTAACATTAATTAAAGGGAATGCAGCAAATCTTCACATTTGTGAAGCTGGAACCATGAAATGTTTTTACGTGAAAAATGACTTAAACCATCAAAATAGTTATTAATTAATTTCAACTTATTTAACTTAAATACTTTCAGCTGTTCTTTCACATTTTGATGTTTTGTTTGTAAAAATCTTTGTAAACTAACTAAAGCTGTCATTTAAATGTAGTGAAGAAGAAAGTGGAATGAGGAAAAAATATTCAGGGAAAGTACAAGTACCTTAAGTAACTAGTAATAACATTTACATTACACCACAGCTTTCTTCCGCCACCCTCGAGTTTCATTTGATAACCGCTTTTCATTGGACAAAAACTCTTTCAAAAAAATCAAAAATCTCTTTCAGGCGGCTTCAGACGGAGTGGCCCCTCAGCACGGCGTGGGCTCCAGAGTGGCGGCGGTGGGGCCGTACATCCAGTCGTCCTCGTCCACGACAAGCTCTCAGGGGCCTCCTGTCCTGGCTCGCCACGAGGTTCTGGTGAAGCCCGCGTACCCGGACGGCACCGCCACACTGCCCATGCCCGACTCGTCCCTGAAGCCGCCTCCCAGACCAGCCAAACCCGCCTCAGGTACCGTAGCGGACGTTACAATAGACAGAAAAAGGAGGATATTTACTATAAGAAGTTGTTTATTTGATCTCAAACTGAAGGTCCAAGCTGTTTTGGACAGATGTCACAGTGTTTGAACACCAGTTTCTCTCCTCTTTATAGGTTTTGCCACAACAAAAATAGGCAAACTCTCTGACTGGAGCAGCTCGTTTTCTGAGTCCAGTGGAGGTTACAGCCACGCCTCCACCCTGCCTCGCATGTCCAGCCTCAGCGGCCACAACTTAGGTCAGTTAGAGCACGATTTCTACACAATATATCAAGGTTTTTTTGGCAACAGTAAATGATTTGATTCTCAGACGCCGGCTACGCAATCGCAAATATCGACTGTTTTGAAAAGTCTCACTGTTGGTGCGTTCGAGGAGGCTCTAGATTTGAGGATTGACTTCCTGTCTGGGAGGTTTAAAACTGTGCTGATCTTGTTTAAAAATGCCACACGGTAGAAGACCACGGTGTTGATGATGATGATGCCCCTCTCATCCCTCTTGTAGACGGTAAGACCCTCACAGATAGGAAGGCCCTCTCTGGGTCTGACATCCCGCCCCCTGTCCCCTCACGGACCAATCACATCACTGAGAAGCTGCTCAGGGACAATCAGGTATCAACGGACTCTCACTTCTATTTCCTACTATTACATGTTCATTTATGTGGAGAAATTAAAATAATTAGCATCATTGTGTTGGACTATAGTGAGCCGGCAGCTACAGGTACTGACTGTAATGACGAGTGCAACTGTGAATCCCGTAGTTTTTCAAAATAAAAGTTTTGTTTATGTCTGGAATCAACCTCTGGAAATCAGATCCCCAAGTCAGCAGAATTGCTTTGCTGTATTTCACCTTTAGGCTTCTGGTAAAGGTCCGCCTCCAGTTCCCAGTAAGCCCAAACCGTTCTCCTCGTCCGGCCCGCCGACCTTCTCCAAGCCCCCCTACAGCACCGGGACCTTCCCCGGTAAGGTGCGACCGGTCGGGGGCCACCTCAGGGCCGCGGGAGTCCTCTCCAGCCGCAGCCACACCCTCCCTCTGCCCAACAAGCAGGAGAGTCCGCCGGCCGCCGCCGTGCGGCCGTACACCCCCGAGCTCTCGGAGGCCACCCCCCCTGTGCTGCAGAAGCCTCAGACTCTGGCGGCTTCGTCCATCTACTCCATGTACACCCAGCAGGGGAAGGCCTACCTGCCGAGCGGCCAGGGCACGCTGCCCCGCAGCCAGCCCAGAGGTGATGCACCAACACAGCCAATAACAAAATGATTTAGGTTTTAATCAGGATAAGGTTTCTTCTTCTGCACTTAAAGGGATAGTTTGGGTGTTTTTAAGTTATTATTCCAGCTGTTCAACAGATCTTTGGTTTGTCATCGCTGCCTCTGACTTCCATGTCTCTCCCTCCTCACAGTGTACGGGAAACCAGCTCGCGGGGGTCAGCAGACCGTCGCCTCAGACGTCATGAACTCTGGGCATTGTGTGTCCGAAGGGAGCGAGGCTGACAACGGCGTCGGGGCCGAGACGGCAGAGCGCAGCACCCCGCGGCCGCTGAGCCCCACCAAGCTCCTCCCCTTCCTGTCCAACCCTCACAGGAACCCCAGCGACGCCGACCTGGAGGCCCTGCGCCGCCGGCTGCACCACGCCCCGCGGCCCCTGAAGAAACGCAGCTCCATCACGGAGCCCGAGGGCCCGGCGGGTCCCAACATCCAGAAGCTGCTCTACCAGAAAACCACTCTGGCTGCAATGGAAACCATCCCGATGGAGACGGTCAGTCCGGCGGGGACGTACGTCCAGCCTCACGAGGACGTGACAGGCGGTGCCGATGTGATGTTCAGAGTCGATGACAACCAGCCGCTCGCTGAGAGCCCGGAGGACGGTCTGACTCCGCCCTCTCTGCCCCCCCGTGCACCCATCCCTGACCCCGCCACCTGCCACTCCCTGCCCCCCCCTCTGGAGGACAAGGAAGAGGTTTGTCCGTCCGCCTCGGTCCGCCTGGGCTTTTTTGCCGATGAGTTCCCCCCCTACCCGCCTCCACCTTACCCCACCTGTGAGGAGGGGGATCAGGGAGATGACTCCTTCAACCTGCAGCCGCCGGAGGTCACGGGACAGGTGACGGTGCCCCCGGTGAGTGTTCCCAGAGTAACGGTTAACGGGGAACTAGAATATTAAAACTTCTGATTATTGCTTTGCTAATTAAAGGGTCACGTCACCTAAATGATGAAAAACGATCTCCTCTCTCAGGGTAAGAAGTCGATCCTCCGTAAAGCCGACTCGGAGCGGATCGACCACAGCATGCGGGTCAAATTCAACCCTCTGGCCCTGCTGCTGGACTCGTCTCTGGAGGGCGAGTACGACCTCGTCCAGAGGGTCATCTACGACGTGAGTCACTCCACCGTCTGCTCTTAATCTGCTGCTCCACCACGAGACAGTTTGACGAAACTCAAGTTTTCACAAACACAGAAAATGTGATGATTTTTATAGAATAATTGAACTCTATGAAGTGCTTATAACGGCTCAAAACATTTGATCACTTATGATTATATATATATATATGAACAGCAGCTAAACAAAGTGGATGTAGGTATGAAGTGTTGTGGTTTGGTGCATATAATTCTGTATTTAAATGTGCTGTTAATTAGTCACAGGTTGTGTTATTGTGTTACAATTTCGATTAATGTGACTTCACGGAAGATTTTGAAAGTTTTGAGCTTGAAAAACAGTCATTTTAAAATCTATTGAATATTGGAATGACATGCTTGGAACCAGCATCTTTGCTCCGTAATCACGTAATAACTTAATCACGCGTCCGTCCTGCAGGTGGACGACCCCAGCTCGCCAAACGACGAGGGCATCACGGCGCTGCACAACGCCGTCTGCGCAGGCCACACGGAGATCGTCAAGTTTCTGGTTCAGTTCGGGGTCAACGCCAACGCTGCCGACAGCGACGGCTGGTGAGTTTGAACAAGAACGACATTACAGGGCTTCACAGTCCCGCCTCGCCAATAATTTAAGAGTTATTATTGTAAGAAGATGACATCCTCAGTGTTTATTCCTCCTACAAAGCTGTGATTGGCCGGCTTGTTTTTCCAACCAAGAAAATAGCTTCAAATCGGAGATGTGTGAGATGATTCATACGTCTGGGTTTCGAACCTTTCAAACCTTTCTTCCTCCCTCTCTCCTCGTCTCCAGGACGCCCCTCCACTGCGCCGCCTCCTGTAACAATGTACAGGTCTGCAAGTTCCTGGTGGAGTCGGGGGCGGCGGTGTTCGCCACCACGTACAGCGACATGCAGACGGCCGCCGACAAGTGTGAGGAGATGGAAGAGGGCTACGCCCAATGCTCCCAGTTCCTCTACGGTGAGACTAAACACACAACGCATGGAAAAACCAGAAGGGCCTCCAGGGACCATTGATGAGGTCCCAGTGATCCCGGTGACGTTACAGGGGGCCACATACAATTTGAGGGGTCTCTGAGGGTGTTTCAATGTCTCTCTGTGTGTGTTTGCGTGGCGGCAGGCGTTCAGGAGAAGATGGGCGTGATGAACCGCGGCGTGGTGTACGCCCTGTGGGACTACGAGCCTCAGAGCGACGACGAGCTCGGCTTCAGCGAGGGCGACTGCATGACGGTGCTGCGGCGCGACAACGAGGTGGAGACGGACTGGTGGTGGGCGAGATGTGCAGACCGGGAGGGCTACATCCCCCGCAACCTGCTGGGGGTGAGACAGAGACAGAGACGTGTGATGTCCGGCTCTCTACGTTGAGCTCCACGGGGAATTGAACCGTCGACCCTGTCGGCTGTTTCCTCCTAAATCTGTTTTAATCAGGTTTAAAAGCGGCTCTGAGAAGTCTGTTACTCAACAGTCTTACGTAACAAGTTTCAGAATTTAAATGTTATCTCGATCTTCTTTTTAATGACGCATTCTTTCCCTTTTTATTTCCCAGCTCTATCTGAGGATCAAGCTGCGGCAGAGGAGCCTGGCTTAACCGCCGACTGACAAAAGACCAAAATGTTACGAGAAGGAGTTTAATCCTCTGGACTCGAGGTTGTTGTAAAGAGAGAGACGATGTTTTCTGAACTGCTGTTGGACCTCGGCACAAAGAATGTCATCATGAGCTCATTGTCATTGCTGGAGGGACAGAAGAAGAAACAATAGTTCATCAGCATCCTGTGCTAAAATGAACAGATTATCACTTTACCAAAATTCATCGGCAGATATTTGACTTTTGCCAGCGACTCACACATCTGCTGCCCTGAGGCATCGGGGGGGGGGGGCCTAAAAACAAAATGTGAAAATGATTTTGGGTTCATGTTGTAATTTTTTTTTAAGATTTCATTGTATTTGAATGAATAGCAGAGAGAAAGAGAGTCGACGACGTGCGACAAATGTCCCAACGGTTGGTTGGTTTTGTCATTATTAAAGTATTTAAAGGTACAGTCCCGTTTTGTTACAGCATCCACTAGCTTTCAGAATCATAACGCATTTAGGAAGTGTTTCACCAAATATGGAGTTCATTTTTATGTTCTTCAATAAGTAAGGATGTTGTACGGAGCCCAAAGTCCCAAAATACAGTTTTTTTTTCTCCCCTCACAAGTTTGTGACTTGAGGGACCAAAACAACAAGTTAGTGGTTTGTGGGAATAAAATATGAACTTGTGCAAACTAGTGACGTCTGTAAACTGGACGATAAATTGTACAAGCAAGATATAAAAAAATATCTTTTGTTTCTTTGGAGCTCTGTAGTGCAGGTGATTTTTCACCAGGTAATTAAAAAAATAATTTGTAGCCGTTTTTTGTTGTGCACTTTTGCCGATTTGATCAAATCCAGCTGAGAGCCTCAGAAGGGCTCGATGTAAACAGGCTGCCATTAGTTAAGGTTAGTTTGATATTTATGTCGTTAATAAACACATACAGGAACTCTGTGAGAAGGAAAAGCACTCGTTTAAGAGTAGACAACGGTTTGGATTTATTTTTGGGTTTTTTAATAGTTATAAAAGTTTATTTACAAGAGTCCATGTTCTGCTACAAAGTGCAGTTTGTGTCATTTTTTTAAAAGAAAGTCAGAAGCAGATTTTTTTTTAAATAAAATAAAAATTAAAAAAAGACAGCTATAGTGAAAATTTTAATTTTAATCATTCATCTGTCTTTTTTGTGTCGACATGAAGGACTTAAATTACAAACTAAACGTGTAATCTCAGTATTGTTGTAATACACTGGACCAGTAGCTCAAATCAACTCCAACGCCGATTTAAATAAGAGGATGCAAGTGGTGTTTTTTATTTTTTTATTATTTAGCCAGGCTAACAGTTTCCACCCGCTCCCTGTCTTTGTGCTAAGCTAAGTTAAAAACCTGCTGGACCTCTCTGTGTTCTGGACACACGGATATGAAACTGATTTCTTCATCTCTGACTCTGGCGAAGACGGAGAACGAGAAGATTGTTTTTAAAATAAAAAGGTAAAATAAATCAAACCTTCTGTCCTCAATGTTCCATTTTCACTTCCTGCAAGAAACATGAATGATATAAAGTAAGCGTTTCAGTCATGTTTCAACAGTTTATTTATTAGTTCGAGGGACGGTCGGGAACATCCACTCTTTAACGTTTAAACGTCCAGCTGGTGGCCTCTCCGCTCTGCGCTCTGCAGGATCACATGCTGACTCGGCAGACAAAGTGCAAAGAACTCCATTTGAACAGGAAGCGGGTTCAAACGCTACAGGATCCATGGAAAGTACATTCGATATTAAGGTTTACAATTGCACAGAACCTCAGAAAAAAAATCAAATAAAAAACGGTTTTAAAACACTTCATATATTACTTCATACTTTAAATGAGCATGCAGGTTATGTTTAGCAACAAGCTGCCTGGTACATCAAACCTTCTACACATGAACGCGTGATCGGAACAAACTGGGAACCCCCAGATGCAAACATGAAGTCTGTAGATGCAGATGTTAAACGTAGAAGCTTCAACACTTCAGAAGCAGCTCGAGCTCACGAGTCTCAACAAAGTGAAGAAAGTAAGGCTGTAAAGTAACGTTCTGCTAAAACATTGTTCTGTTTCCCAGAAACACAGTTAATGATTCATCTGGAAAAGAAAACAGATTGTGGTTTATTATCTATTGTGGTAATTAATATCGGGCTGAATTGGGGAAAAGTCAACAGGTTTCTGCTCCAGAGCCCCCGTCGGCTGGACAGAAGGGATTCATCGTGGTGATTAAAAGTGAATAAAGTGCAAAAGAACGGAGCGTAATGGAACCAGCCGGCGGGCTCAGGCTGAACTCTGGAGGAATGTTCGGAGCCCTGCGGGCGTCGGGAGTCCTTTTGTTTGCACACGAGTTCGTCATCTAAGCGCTCTAATGATTAAAGTAATCTGGAAACATCCTCCATTCTGGTCTCTAGGTTTCAGTTTGTCGGTTCAAACTCAACTTAAGTTCAACTCTAGAGGGAAAATTACAAAAAAATTGGACAATCCAGTCTCTCGTTAACGTTTCTCCAATGTGAGGATGTGCTGCTTTCCTGTTTTAGGCGATTCTAAAGGGATTTGGGTTTGAAGACGTCACTGCGGACATTTTTCACTATTTTCTGAAATTCTGTTAATTAAACAGCTCTATTAATGAATCTATAAATAATTCATCGATAGAGCTGAAAAGTATTTAACAGATTAATCAATAATGACGACATACAGTCAATACAGCCGTATGACTTTAACTGCGTTATCTACAGCAAACTGACCCCCGACGCCCACCGCTGACATAAAACATTCACCTTTTACAGTTTACGGGCTGAAAAACATGCGGCATGTTTGATGAGACGACACCTCACGCTGTTGGAAAACTCCTGCTGAAAATAATCCCCCTCGTCACATGTCACATGTGGAGATGTTGAGTTGTGTTCCAGTGTTCCAGCTCTTTAAAACCATTCCTTCTCAAATCCGCCCCCGAAAAATAATCCACGAGGTCAACCGGCTAAAGCACAAGACTGCTGGGAGGAAGATGAAGATGATGATGATGAGGATGAGGATGAGGGAGTCTCTGACAGAAGTATAGATCCCGGACGGGAGAATTAGAACCGCTGGCGTGTGGCGGGAGAGCGAAGCAGATGCTTTGATGACGTCCGACCAGTCGAGAGTTCTCACGGAGCTCAGCATCTGTCGCATGGGTGGGCGGGGTCTCTAATGCTCCTGCAGGTTCTGGTCGTGGTTCTGGTTCTGGTCGTGGTTCTGGGAGGCGGGCAGCAGGCGGGTGACGTGGCCGATGCCTTTGGTGACGCCCTCCCTGAAGAGCAGCTTGGCGCCCAGTCGCAGGTACTCGGGGTGTTTGATGAAGCAGAAGCGAACCACGGCTCTCTCGCCCGTACGCAGCTCGTCCTGCAGCAGAGAGAGAGAGAGAGGGGGGCGGGGGGGGGTCACATGTTGTAACATAAAGCCGCCACAAGATGGCGATCACACACGCTCGACATCATCCACACACCGACCTTCCCGTGAAGGCACTCCACAGTGGCCGTCTGCCTGACGTTGCCCACGTGCACGGTGACCTGTGACCCCCGGCGGAAGGTCTTGGCGTGGAAGAGCAGCACGATGGCGGCTTCAAACTGACAGCAGATGGTCGGGTTCATCTTGGGACTGACCATCACCATCCCCTGCAAACGCACATCGCCGTCATCGCTCGCTGACATCAGCTGTACATTGTACTTTTTTTTTGCAGAGTTGTTTGTTTTGGCGAGGACAAAGTGACCCAGCAGTTTTAAAGAGAGCTTTTATATCTTTCCTGCCACGACAGCAAAACTAAAAGTTTTTATTACATACCAGCAAACTGAAAAGTTGGATGGATCTCTAGAGCCAGTGAGATTAAAAATGTCTCATGTTTCAGAAGGTCACCGTCTTCTTAAATCTAACCGGCTTATTCTCGGTACGGTGGCCCTTTTAGGACATCTCTGACTCGGCTGTTGCTCTGAGTTTAAGTTTAGCATGTTAGCGTTAGCTTGTTAGAAAGCTAATTGTATGGTAAGTCAATGGAGCGGAACATGCTAACGCTATGATTACTGCTGGCGTGAGTGTGACGACAGTCCGCCAGTTAGTTCAGTACTTTGGTTCAGACTGAACAACTATTGGATGGATTGTCATGAACTTTAGATTTCAATCATCGGGTCAACATTTTAATTTGGTTTATGACCAAATACCTGCAGAACTAATGACGCTAACAAAACTAAATAATTGAACAGAGCCAAAGAACCTCTTTACACAAGAAGACAAAGGATTCATTCTGTAAAACGTACACAACTTTTTTCAAGTGTCACCTGGCTGAGGGATCAGGGATCCTGCTGGATCAGGACCAGGACAACATCAAATCAAACAAGACAGTCTCTAGGTCACGTGACCTCTGACCTTGCGCAGCAGCGATCGGTCAAAGTTGCCCAGAGCCAGCGTGGCCGCCTGTCCGGCCCTCAGCACCCTGCAGGCCGAGCGGTTCCTCTGGATACTGCCCACCTTCAGACGCAGGAAGCGGCCCTCGTCGGTGGGACCGACTACCAGCCGCTCACCCTCCCGACACACGCCGCTGAAACACACACACACACGCGCGCGCGGTCGGTCCAATTACTGCAGCACACTCGGCGCAGTTACACTGCCTTCAGACTTTTCCAAATCCTGCATGAGCTGCGTCGTGTTCCTCTCACCTGTACAGAGTTCCTCCCACCACAGTCCCAACGTCAGGAACAGAGTAGATCTCATCCACCTGCAAACACACACATACACACACACGCACACACACACACACACACAATGGAAATCTCAAGTCAGCTAGATCTTTCAGTTAATGTTTTCTAAAAGTTGCATTAGGATCCTCAAAACATTGTTTACAGGGCTGAAAACCTCCAATGGTTGGCAGACGGTGAGTTACACCACTACATCTGTCTGTCTGTCTGTGTGTGTGTGTGTGTGTGTGTGTGTGTGTTTGTGTACCTGGAACTCTGTGAGCTGCTGCATCAGCTCCTCCTGCTCCTTGCTGTTGCTCAGTGGAGGGAGGATGTTCAAGAAAACCTTCAGGAGGTCCAGATTCTCTCCCGACACACTGGACAGGGTGAAGATAGGCGTGATGCTGCACACACACACACACACACACACACACAATGGAAACTTACATCATCATCACACTGACAGGTGTTTCTAATATTAGTAGTACTATTATATTAGCACTGTGGTGACACAGTTTCACCCAGGTCTAAAAAAAATAACGTGAAGAAAAACGACGGTGGTGTTAATGTATGTGACCTCACAACGTCAGAGTCTCCAGTTAACATGGAAACCAGCTGATGTGTTACACCGGTGTTCTGCCTTTTGCTTCCACCTGCAGCAGCTGACCTGTATTTTCTTTAATGCTGACTCAGCACTGCAGCAGGAGGCGGTGCACTAACTTGTCAACTCTGTCACAGTCATGTTCTGTGGAGTTAAATCCACAGACCATGAGATGCATTTCATGTTCCCAGGTAGTTTGCATCTTTTAACATGATAGCTGTTTACGTCGCTCCTCCGGCTGCTGCTCAGCTTTCAACCCACATCCTGGACTCAGAGGAGTCCGACCCAGACTGTAGTATCTTGAGAGAAGGACTTACAAGTTAGGAGAAAATCTTATCTGACACCTGTAAGTACATTTACTTAAGTACTATACGTAAGTACAATTCTGACATGCTTGATGTAATTTACTTGAGTATTTTCATTTTATGCTACTTTATACCTCTACATCTCAGAGGGAAATATTGTACTGCACTACATTTATTAGACAATATTATTTGCTGGTTACTTTTTGGATACAGGCATATATGTATTAGTAGTATTTGTACTGTATTTGTGAACTACTGCAGTAGTAGTAGTAGTAGTAGTAGTATTAGTACCCACCATGCAGACTGAGTGACTGCTGCAGTAGTAGTAGTAGTAGTATTAGTACCCACCATGCAGACTGAGTGAACTGCTGCAGTAGCAGTAGTAGTAGTAGTAGTAGTAGTATTAGTACCCACCATGCAGACTGAGTGAACTGCTGCAGTAGCAGTAGTAGTAGTAGTAGTAGCAATAGTAGTATTATTACCCACCATGCAGACTGAGGGAGCTGCTGTAGTAGTAGTAGTATTAGTAGTAGTAGTAGTATTAGTACCCACCATGCAGACTGAATGAACTGCTGTAGTAGTAGCAGCAGTAGTAGCAGTAGTAGTAGTAGTAGTAGTACTAGTACCCACCATGCAGACTGAGGGAACTGCTGTAGTAGTAGTAGTAGTAGTAGTAGTAGTATTAGTACCCACCATGCAGACTGAGTGAACTGCTGTAGTAGTAGCAGCAGTAGTAGCAGTAGTAGTAGTAGTATTAGTAGTACTAGTACCCACCATGCAGACTGAGTGAACTGCTGTGCGGCCGTCACGGCGTCGTCTGGGTTGGACACCACCATCGGCACCTTGTTGCAGCCCGGCTGCTTCAGGAGTCGCTCCAGCTGTCGGACGGTTCTCTCCACGGTGCCGCGGGAGCACAGGTCCACTTTACTGACCACGATGAAGATGGGAACTTTCAGCGCCATGGCCAGGCCCAGGTGCTCCCGGGTCGTGCCGGCTGGACGGAGGAGAGCGGGAACACTGTGAGCATGCTGACATCAAAATAAAATACTTCATTACCCAGAAACCATCTGGCAGGTACCAGGAGAGAATCCATTTTTTCTTCTTTTTTTACAGTTTTAGTACTTCTAAAAATGTGTGTGCTTGTATTGTAATTGCCTTTTCACTTGTAAATATAAAATAATCATCTAGCTAAATCTAAATACAACTAGTAAGTTCAATTTAAGACTTTTGAGACCTTTTTAATACCACTTAGAATGTAGTTTAATACCTGTTTCATGGTCATACTGGCAAAGCATCAGAGTATGATGGAAAACCAGTAAGGACGACATGACCTAGAAATACAGTATTTATTATGATACCACATTTTATAAGTACTTCCCAGCAGGTTATAACAATAATTTCTACTTTTATCAAACATTAACTTAATGTGACGTGGACAAGCAGCATAGAATGGACTCACTATTTAAAAAGTTTTTACTAAAATCTTCACTTGTTTATTCTAAGTCGTATTAGCTGCTGGAGCTGACAGTAGTATGCAATCACTCCAAACTTTCCGAAACCTCGAGACTCTGAGTCTTTTTAACATTGACCACTTCTGACCTCTAGTGGTGACTTTACGGTGTTGTTCTTAATTATTCCTCCAGCACTGAAAGCAGAGGACAACTTAGTCATTTTGCTTCAAGAAAACAATGTAGAAAAAGACTCTAATACCAGAAACAGACACTTTAAAATCCCATACTTGGAAAAAGGGGATAAAGACGTCAAACACCGACAAACACTGATGTTCTTCTGTATTAGACGTTTGTGGGAGATCGAATCAGATCAATCAGCAGGACTGCTTTATTGTAATAATGGATGAACAGGAAAGATTAGGGCTGAAACAATTAGTCCACTAACTGATTAGGTGATTGACAGAACATGTATTGCAACTATTATAATCATCCCCTTGAGCTCAGGTAGGAATGCGATGAGTGTTTCTCAACGACCAAACTATAATTAATCGAGAAATAATTGGATGATTAATTGATACTGAGATAATTGTTACTTGTGCGCGTCCTAACGGGATTGTTGCATAAATGTGATACCTTGATTTTCAGATTAAAATGAACCGTGTCACGAGGTCTACTGCATACTTCATCTTACGTCATCACACACACACACACACACACACACACACACACACACACACACACACAGAGTTCTAAGTGTTCTGATGTTGTTGCTTCCTGTATGAAAGGCGTGGCTGCAGCTCACCGATGCCGGTGTTGGCGCTCACCACCAGCATGGCGAAGTCGGGGCAGTAGCTGGTGAGGCCGAAGATGGTCGTCTTCAGGTACTTGTGGTGTCCGGCCAGATCGATGAAGGTGATCATCTTGGAGGAGCTCTCACAGATCTCCTCAGCTGTCCGAGACTCGCTGTAGTTCACCACCTGCACCGGCCCACGTATTGTTATCAGACTTTTATAAAACCCTCAAATATTTGTAATCTGATACTCAACATTAAATGGACTCACAAAGGAAGCCCTTACTGCTGGAGAATTATATTATGCGTTTGTGATATTTGGTCGTTTTGTTAAGCTTCCTGTTTGGGACTCGAAGCACTTGATACAAATCTAAAATAAACTGCATTATTCAAGTACAAATTGAACAATGTAACTGTTTGTTTTGAGATATTTTGGAAGAAATTAAAATAAATCTGTTAATTCTGCTCCAAACTAATAGCTATATCTCTATACTGTGTGTGTATATATATGTTATATATATATAATATATAACTCTAGCTGACATCCACTCTCTCTCTCTCTCTCTCCCTGCCATCAGTGTGCTCACCTCTCCTTTGCTGTTGAAGCCGAGGATCTCGAAGCTGATGCTGGAGGTGCGTCCGGTCTGGATCTCGTGCAGATGTCTGAAGAGGTTGAGCCTCGCTCGGCCTCGCCCGTTATCCAGCTCGCCCTGCGTCAGGACGCCCAGCAGGGTCGACTTCCCCGAGTCCACGTTCCCCAGAACCGCCACCCGCAGGTCCAAGAACTGTCCCAGTCCAAAAACAAAAAACATGACGGAGGAGAGGGATCATAGTCTCTACTTTAAGCCTGCTGCTTCCTGCAGTTGACTTACATTTGTTGTGTTCCTGTTTTAAGTCAGTAGGTGCGCTTTGCATGCTGGGATACGGATGACAGACATAAATAGTTGCTAGCAGCTGTCTGGAGAATGATATGACGTCTGACCTGGACTTGTTTTTTTGTACATTTAGGCCGATAGGAGTTCCTTTGTTTACTTTCTCACTCTGGTCCCTGACACATCCAACCAATCAGAGGAGAGAACGCTCTCACCTGGAGTTTAGTTCAACACTGATTCAAACAAACTAAAGGTTTTAAAAAAAACGTCCTTAAGCACACACACACACACACACACACACACACACATCAGGGACAGCAGCACCTGGAGACTCTCACCTGCTGATCATCGGGGACTTTTCGAACCAGGACTTCTGCGATTTTGCGCGTGTTTCTGTCCAAGTCGTAGTCCACCTCCCTCTCTCGGAGGAGAGTGATGTCGGCCCCGACTCTGATGAGACAGAGAGGAGAAACCTAATCGGACAAATTACAACTCACGGCACATTGCTGCATTCAGTTAGGAGCGCTGTCCACCATCTTCCAAAGCAGACCATGAATTTTAGATCAGAGCATAATGAAAATATACAACTAAGACAAATTATATGTCAAATGTATATTCTGTTCGCCAACATAACATTCCCTGTTCATGTCTGTCCCAGTGCAGCTCTGCTATGAGGACACATCGTCAACAGGTGTATTAATGTCGCTCTTGTTAATGAAACTTCCCAGACGCAAAGCGTAGGAGACAACCTTTTACGGCACTTTTAGAGGCGTAGATTATGCTAATGATCAAATCTCACCAACGTGAACAGGTGTTGTTCATAAAGGCTGAAACGAGCGATTAACGACGAGTTTGTTTCCCGTGAAGAGACTTCTCTCACAGATAGAAAGGTTTAGGATAAGAATATACAAATGTGGTGATACAGAGTCTCAAATCCGGCGACCTACTTCTCTGCCATCCTCTTTAAGGTCTTGAGCGAGGCCTTCATGTCGGCCTCGGTCAGGCCGACCAGCAGGCCGTTGTCCTCCACTCCGATCTGGTAGACGGCCTCCCCGCGGCCCTCCTGCAGACGCCACTTCAGCTGCGTGGCCAGATGCTCGAAGCGATACTGCGTGGGATTAACCAGCTTCAACTACGGCAACAGCAGAGAGACAAACATGATGTCACAGCAGGTAAACACCCGCAGAGCACACAGTTCAAACGGAGCATGACCCCAAACTGGCTTTAAATTTTAACCTGAATGTAAAGTAACAATATATTTGGGACAGTACACTTCACAGCCTGACTGATATATTCCCCTGTTTTTTGGTCCAGAAAGTGTTGGACAGACACTTCAGCAGTATAACCCTTTAAATGCTGGAACAGAACCAGTACTGTGTTTGATGTTTGTACTCTAAACTCTGTTACAGTCTTGTTAAGATCATAAAGTCTATAAACACTGATGACTGAGGTACAAACTCTGTTTTAATGGAGGCTAACAGCACTGGGTGAGTGACAAGAGTCTCACCATGAGCTTTAATCAAATTAAAGTAGCAACAGTAGAAACAAATATATTAATATTAATATTGTCTTTAAAGTAAAATCAGGCTGGTGGTGGCCTCTGCAGGGTTCACAATGTTAAATGTAAAGATATTTTAATACCAAATATGAATTCAATAAGAACCAGTAGGGATGATAAGGCCTAGAATTATTCACAACGTGCATTCATTTATTGACATTTATACAATATTTTACCCAGCAGGATATGCCAATAAGGGCTTCAACAACTAACAATAACTTTCATTACTGCTCATTATTTTCCAGATAAATATATTGTTTTTTTTGTCTGTATAATGTCAGAAAACAGTGAAAAGTGTTTCTTATAGTTTACCAAAGCCGAGGGTGACATCTGCAGATGTCTTGTCTGACCAAAAGTCCAAAACCCCAAAATATTCAATATACTATCAGAGTTAGTTACCTTGTACTCAATGTTTCCTTCTTCAGCCTGGAAATAGAGAGAAAGGAGACACATGAGGACACTTAAGGACAGATTCATGTCACAACGACTGAACTAACCACTGTGCACACTGTCAACATGTCCACATACTTTAATCTACTTTCTGTCCCTCAGTTCTAATGAAGAGAAATATGAATGCTGCAGCACACAATGATATATTTTAGACAATGGTGTTCTCTCCAGCTCTTTGCTTGTGTTTGTGTCTTTGAAAATGAAAGTGAGGCCTGCTATGGATCCAGGAACTGTTTCTCAACTATGATATTATTTTATTTTTTTAATAAACAACACTTCTATTTAAAGAAAACATTTTCTGTTATTCATTTTTGAGACATTTCTGGCTGACAACCGTAACTGCAGTAATATAATAGTAGTAATGACTAAACTATGATAGCATAGCAGTAATAATATAGTGAGTTAATATCACTGGGTTAAGTGACAGATATATGAATAGATTTCTTTATTACCACCACTTGTGTGAGCAGTAAAATGCACTTCTGAGAAGGATACAATTACCTAAATTCATTCACCATTCAAGCAATTTAAAGTTTGTTACGATGAAGGAACAATTCATTAAGATATAATGCTTGACTCTGACATGTTCCTACACCGAGATGACGGTCTAGTCTATTCGGGACACAGTAGAATTGGCTGAATATGTTGTTTATCATATTATCACAGTTATATAGAAGATAACTTAAGTCAGTAGCTTCAGGTGTTATGGACGTTGGAAGCTAACAAGTACAGCAAACACTGCCTCTTGGTGTTGAACCATTTTGCCGAATTATCAATGGGTCTTTATTATTTCTGAATATATATTGAGTTAGCTTCTATGACCGTTGACCCTTCACCTACAGACGGGTGTCACTAGTTAGCCTGAAGCTAGCTAGCTAGGTTTGCAACAGGATGTCTCGTTAATCCCCCGGCTAAAGGACGGTAGCTATATACCTCCGGTGGGAAATACGGCGGTGGTGTTTTGTTGTTCCTGCTGTTCTTTTTACTCCTTCTTTTCCTGCCTCGTTTGCCTCTTCTCGTTCGCGACTTTTTCGACGTTTTCTTCCCGTTATTGCCGGAGCCGGAGCCCTGTCCGTGTCTGATGTTGTGTCCGGGCGACACTGCACCACTCTCGGACAAATCCACCATCGCTGAAGCTCAGAAACTAGAGATCCCCGGGAGCCGTGTGAAGTCTAAAATATAATAATAGTGATGATAAAGCTGCTCTTTCGAACATCACATCTGCCAGAACGCACGGCCTGCCTGCGTGAAGACCTGCGGCGGAGGATGCTCTCTCCTCAGCATCATCGACGCCATCAAGTCTGCTCTCCTTCACGAGACGCGATACAGCTTCCGGTTTCAACTTTCAAAATAACTTTATAAGCAGTTTACATTTCAAAGTAAAAGTACAATAGTGGTCACACTGAGTTAGTTGGACCTGAATTAGGAATAACACCATAAACATTGTTGTTTTTAACAAACATTGACTTTATTTCTGTTATTATGCCACAATGATTATGACTTTTTCTCCAGTAGCCAACATCAGGATAAATGATCTTGAATATCGTGAATCTTGTAAATTATTTTGTTTTTTTACCTTGATAAAAAAAAAAAAAAAAAAAAAGACCCATAGATCTAGAGCAGGGGTCTTCAACGTTTTTCAGGCCAAGGACCCCCAAACTGATAGAGAGATGGAGCAGGGACCCCCGACTATAACATTGTGTTTTATATTAAACTGGGCCTATAGTGCCATGTATAGACATACCTCTTTATTGTGCATTAAATACTAAGCTATTCAAATACACAGGTTCATATATTCATGTTTTTATTTTAAACATGTGCAAGGTACAGTGAGTAGGGTGGCCGTGCCACTGCCATTTAGAAACATACCTTGTCAGTGATACCAATGCCAATATCAACATTGTCTGTCAATTGCGTGATAATCATGCATACAAGCTATTCAAACTGATGTTTTCATTTTAAACATAAATGTGAAAACGAAAATGAGTGATCTCCTATTAGTGCCACTGCCATGCATAAACATACCTGTTATCTTGCATACAATACTGAACTATTAAAATAATGGACAGATTCATGTTTGAAAAAAAAAAAGAAAAATTAAAAAGAAAATAAATTTAATTAAAATATTGTGTAATCAACCAAACATTTCGCGGACCCCCTGTTGAAGACCTCTGATCTAGAGGCAATACAAAATCAAATAATGAAATGAAAAACTACATAAATGCATCTTAGACATTAAAACTCAATAACCAGATGACATAGTAACTAGTAAATATACTGACTATCAATCATTGACTTAAAACTGATTAAATGTTGAAAACCCAACATAAAACAGAATTAAAATTCAATATCATGTCAAAAAAAGTAACAAATGCCCAGTATGATTTATAATAACCCAAAATCCAAAGATATTTGGTTTGATATCATAGAGAACCCAGAAAATCAGCAAATATTCATATTTGAGATGCCAGAACTTGTGAATTTTGGACACTTTTGCTATAAAAAAAATCGCTCAAACAATTATATTAATAATTGCAGGATATTTTTTCTATTTATTGACTGATAAATCAACGAATAACATTTGTCATCTCTTAATAGTTCAGAAAGAGAACCCCTGTGTAAATAACTTTTTATGACTGAATTGTCAGGACACTTCCTGTTTCCATCTCCTTCGACATCATGACTTTTTCAGGTACACTTTCATCAATGGTGGAAGAAGTATTCAGATCCTTGATTTGAGTAAAAATACTAAAACTACACTGTGAGAATACTCCACAAGTAAAAGTCCTGCATTCAAAAGCATACTGTGTAAAAAGTACAACAGTATTTAAATGAAGTTCTGTTTGTTGTAAGAATGATGAGATGAGTTTGTCAGGTTGGAACCACAGGTGTGGTGACATGGTTAAATGAGTTAATGAATCAGGTGTGTAGGGGAAGCTGGTAGACAGACATCAAATCAATTAATTATATTGTAGTTAATTAATGAGTTATATTGTATATGACAATGAATCTTTTTCATTTAAATATCATCAGTCTACTCAGTTTCATTGACAGGACAGATGATCAGAGGGGCAGAGTTTTTACCTCCATCATTATTACAAGGACAGACATATGGGAAGAGTTTCTCAGTGAAGGAGCAGCCAGTGAAGGAGTAGATAAGAGCTTCAGCATCTACGTCATAGAAGGAGACCAGACCCTCCTCATAATCCACAAACACCCCCACCTTCTGAGGCTGAGACTTCAGAGAGAGAGGGACTGGAGAGCCAGCAAGAGCTCTGTACTCATTTCCATTCCTCAACCATATGGTCCAGTAACCATTCCGAGGGCTCAGTGTGATGTTTCCCTCCCTGTTGATCGACTCTCTGGCCACTCCTAAATTCCATGCAGTCTTTCCTTTAACTTGAACCTCAAAGCAAAATCTGCCAGAAGAAAAGCTCTTCTTTCCTAAAACAAAACCACAGTGAGAAAATCTCTCTGGGTTGTTTGGGAGATTCTTCTTCACATCACCATGTTTCACTTGTTTCCCATCAGCAGACAAGATGAGTTTAGGATGAGCTGTATCAGGATCAAGAGTCACATCCACTGCAAACTTCTGGACCCACTTCAGCTCAGCTTCAAGCAGCTTCTTTATCTTTTTACTGAGCGTCTCCTCCAGCTGAACCACAGCTCTCCTCACAGTCCCCTCATATGATGCTGGATGGACACTGACCTTTGTCCAGTCCTTGGTGGGTGGTGGATGGTGGATGTTTGAGGACTGAGCACTCTGGAGAAGATGGAGGTGGTCTTCAGAGAGTGAGAGCT